CCTCCCTGCTGGGATTACATATATAATCAACCATACCTGGATGAATTTTGAGGAACTGAGCTTTTATAGACATTTAAAAGGAAATGTTAGAATAAAATTTCTAAGTTAAAAATTTTTTAAAGAAAATGGCAAGGAGAAAAGGTAGAAGTATCACATTTATTTGTGCTTTTACATACATGTATGATCTTGTACAAGAAAACAAGAGTGGGAAGTTAAATTCCAAAATTCAGTGGATTAAACTAATATATGAACTATCAAATATTTAATATCATAGTATGCAAATGGATACAGAAATGGCTCAGAATTTTTTTGAAATAACCTTGAAATAAAGATTCATCCCAGAGATCTAAAACAAGTACTTATCCTGAACAAACCATGTTCTTGCTTGACTTTTTGAAATCAGTGAAGTCCATTCAAAATCTGTCAAATTACTATTCTGTTTGAGAATTCTTCTAGCTAGTCCAAGTTAATAGATGGCTTCGAAAACCAGGTTAAGCATGCTGCTGGTCAATTTATTCCGCCCCTCCCAATGAATCTGCTACAAAACATGAGCATCTTTTCTGATTAAAAATAAAAGACTCGGGCTGGGAAGGTGGCTCAGTGGTAGAGCACTTGCCTTGCAGGCATGAGGCCCTGGGTTCGATTCCTCAGCACCACATAAGCAAAAAGAAAAAAGCCGGAAGTGGTGCTGTGGCTCAAGTGGTAGAGCGTTAGCCTTGAGCTGAAGAGCTGAGGGACAGTGCCCAGGCCCAGAGTTCAGGCCCCACGACCGGACCCCAAAAAACAAAAACAAAAAACAAAAAACCCAGGGCCTCATGCATGCTAGGCAAGCACTCTACCAGCCACATTCCCAGCCTAAAATAAATTCTTACCAAAACTTAAAAAAAAAATAAAAGAGTCTTCAATGATACTTAATACTGTCTTGATACTTAATACTGTCACTTACATCTACTGAAGATGTTACATTAAAGTTAAATTCTTGGTTTGGGTAAAGGGGAGCACAGAAGTGGAGGGACAAAGAGTGAACAAACACAGCAGAGATACTCACTAGAGACTATGTTGAAAATGAACTGTACAACTTGTGGGAGAGAGGGGCCAGGAGGGAAAAACTAGGAGAAGGGAAGAGGGAAGGGAAGAGGTGACACTGCTCAAAAAGACATGTATTCATTACCTGACTTATTTAACCGTAACTCCTCTGTACCTTACCTTTATAATAACAGTAACAATTTTTAAAAAGTTAAATTCTATTTTTGTCATTAATAACAGACATAATATATATACAATTAAAATGGCATACAGAGGGTGGGCATAATGGTCCATGCCTGTAATCTCAGCTTAGGGAGGTATAGACAGAAAGCTTAGCCCCATCCATGGGAAAATGAAAGATCCTATCTGAAAAATAACTAGGGCAAAAAAGATAAAGGCATAGCTCAAGTGGTTGAACACCTAGCAACCACCAGACCTTGAGTTCAAACCCTAGTACTGCCAAAAATCAATCAATAAGTACAATAGAATAAAGAATCTCAGAAATGCTGAAATCATGCATAGGTGATTGGACTTTGCCACCCAATAATCCCTTTCTTCTCATTTTAGAGTTTAAAAACAACCTATACTACAACCTCTCTTAGAGGCAAATGAATAGGCCCTATACTAGTGGACCTCAATCAGGTGGCCCCTCTGGTGAGGTGGCTTAGATAAAGCTGTCTCATCAACAAGATACAAGGACAGAGTTTCTCTTTCCCACATTGAAGAGATCCAATTATGGCACCAACAGATGTTTTGTGTTACAGGACAGCAGACTGGAATAAGTAGTTGATTACCAGGCAAACTGACCAACACAGTTTTCAATCTCACTACTGTAAAAATAAAAATAAAAAAAACTTACACACAGTAAGGCATTATTAAAGATTGTCCAAATCCATAAACAATTACCAGAGCAAGGGACTCTGCTCTGAAGTTTTGAGAAAAAAAAAGGAAGTCATCAGGACTTTATGAAACTAAAAACAGAATTTACTACATGCAATGCATCTCCTAGGACCACAGTCTAAGTGTGCCTACAATGAAATGTTTAACTTGCAAATATTTACAGTACTTTGTATACCTACAATTTTACCTACAAGATTACCTATATGGTAATCTGGTAATCTTGTTTATAATTTTTATGTAAATTTAGAACAAAGAAAGAATAATTCAGGGGGAGAAGCAGAGGTGCTGGAGTGTTCCCCAGGAGATGACATCCTGACTGTTTCCATCTCTAGAGGGGTCACTTCACCTCATTGTGCCTCAGTCCCTTAAAATTACAGTCTAGAGCATCAATCCTACCTCTCTTTTAGCAGTAAAAGTCTGCCATCTATTTAGGTATTTTGATAACTCAAGTTTTCATAAATTCCTAAGAGCACCTGAAGGCATCACTAGCCGTGCTCACAATGCTTAATCAGTATGAAGGGGAGAATGAGCACCGTCTCAACAATTCTCCCATTTGGCATTTTACAGTTTATACTAGGCATGAGAGGGCCATCAAAATTAGATGCTTCATTTCATCCACAATAACAACCTATTCTTATTACAGTAAAATATATTAATATTCTTTTTAAAACATCCCTCCCCCCCCCCCAAAAAAGAAAGAAATAGCTTCACCTCACTGAAATCAAACTTAGGTGAGTCTCACTTGGAGGGTTGCAGTGCCTGGTTTACAGTGTGAGTATCAGGATATGAAGCAGCTGTCACTGCTTTGTTTTTCATTCACAGTAGGTGGTTGCCAGGCAACAAAATACTATTGTCTGTTTCCATGATCTATTGGCCAATTCGACTGGTGATAATGCTTTCTACAGTTTAAAACAGGGCCACCTTTTGGACAAAAAGAAATGAGCAAAATTCCTAAAGAAGACAATAACATACATATGTATGCTTTAAATGGACCCTAAATTTACACATATAAATATGTAACTGTATGGTGATATAAATATATAGTTTGCACATTGTCTGTGCCATTATATATATACATGTGTGTGTGTGTGTGTATCTTCCTATCTAAAAACCTTAATAGGTAGGTCCACAACCAGAATCAATGTCCCTGAGCACAAATCAAGGCATTCAATACAGAAATGACAACATAATAAGACTTATTTTCTTAAAAACAACAATGGTTTTCAATTTGTGAAATGTATCAAAGCTTGTTCCTTGAATTGGAAAGTCCTCCAGACAGAAAAGCAATTCTGTCTATTTAACTAATAACTCATTGAAAGTCTTTACCATTTACTTTGGAATAATCTAACATATTAACTATGTGTTAATATGTGTTAACTATTAATCATGTGCTATCAGTGTGTACAATAATTCAAATAGTGTTGCTGTTCACACATAACACTATTAAAATTTATGCATCTTAAAAAAATAATTGAATTGTTCTCCCCAGAATAACACTGTGTGAATCTCACTTTGTTGTGCTATGAATCCCCAGGGAATAACCGCCATGCTATATTATTCTTGCATATTTCACTGGCTTACAAATAAAACAACATAAGATATATCAATATAAAGTTGTCAACATCAACTTGCATGGGTGGCTGTTTGTTTTGCATTGACAGGACTTCTAAAGATAACAGTTACAATAATCTCTGATGCACAGACACAACATCAAAACCGCCTGAAGAAATTAAAGCTTGAAAATGCTAAAAGCAATCATGCTTTGAGATGAGAAGAAATCAGTTCCATTTATATGTATTTGTGTAAAGGCCCTACATAATGCCAGAACAGTCTTTGGACTTTACACAACGCTTATCCATCTTCACTCAGAGTATTTCAAATGCACTTTAAATTAACTATTTAATGCATCCCTCTAAAGGAACCTTCCATTTGACAGAATTGCCATTTGCAAATATGTCTATTACAAGAAACTGGAATAATCAATATATATTGCCTGGCTAGATATTATTACTATAAAGCTCCTATCAAAAGTGCAAAGCTTGCAAAACCAAAGCAAAAGTATATTAATAACGAACTACTAGTGGAAATTACCACTCTTCCCAACAGAGCGGTCTTTAGCTGAACACACCCACCTCTCTGAAGCGCCCACCTACCTGCTTCTTTTACATCACCCTATAAATGACCCACGTCCTTCTTAGCTTCTTCAGCTTTCACATGCCTCTCCTTCTCCAAAACCCAATTTCTTCTGCTCTTTCCCCACCCTCTCCTAAGCCGTCTTCATTACTTCCTCCTACCTACCAGACTCACATCAGCAGCCCAGTCTGCCAGGAACCTCTCCACGTGCACTTGTTTCCGACGTTCTCCTAGGTCTGCTATGAAAAAATCACAACCCCTGAACAAAACAATCTTCATGAAACTAGGGTTATAAGCTATATTTTTTTAAAAAAAGGTTATGACAGTGAAAGACTGAGGAAGACAAAGTAAAGGAGAAAGACAGAAGTGAATTTGAGGAAAGAAGGCGGCCAACGAGTGGTAATACACTGTAAGATGTGGGCATCCCACAGAACTGGCCTTTCCCCACCTGTGGACCCCACTTTCCCCCATGTGCTCGCGGCGGGATGACAACCACAACACTCCGGAACCACCCCCCTCCAAGAAGGAGGCGGGGTTACGCCTTCAGCCAATCAGTACCCGTGATCCCCGGGCGTCCAACCTATGGGGTGGCCGTGGCCATGCAGGAGGAGGACGTGGGGTGGTCCGGGAGGGGCCGCGTCCGTGGGAGGCGCGCACGTGTCCAGAGAGGCTAGGAACCCGCGGGCGTCCAGCTGTCAAGGCGCGGGCTCTACGCCCGGGCAGTTGCCGGGTCCAGCTGTCCAGGGCCTCCTTTTGCCTGGAGCTGGGCCAGGCAAGGGCGCACGCTCCCCACTTAGGAAGACCTGGGCTGGGCGTCCAGTTTCCCCGCGAAAGGGGACGCGCGCACATCACAACAATAGTACCTAGCGCAAAACAGGCTAGGAGCAAAGTTTCCCGGCCCCGCACCCTAGCGGAGTCCGTCTAGGCAGGAAGACGGGGAGATGCAGGACGGGAGGGTGACAATGGGGAAAAGAGGGGCCCGCGGGCGGGCTGCGGGAGCCCGACAGCCGGCCGGGGGCGGTGTCGGGGGCGGCACACGGCGGGGTGCGCTGTCCAAGGTGCGGAGAAGGTGCTGGGCGCGTGCACCGGCGCCGAGCCCGGAGCCCACACTGGCAGGGCGGGCGGGCGGAGAACAGCTGTGTCTGGGGCGCCGCGCACCCCCGGACTCGTAAAAGTGATGGAGCTTTGAGCTGGGGTTCGGCGGGGAAGGACGCGTGTGGGAGCGGGAAGGGCTCTGTCACACCCCGCTCCCTACCAGCCTCACCTCTAGTTCTACTCCCCTCCCCCCCGCTCGCCCACTCCCCGCCAGGCTGAGTCCCGGTGCGGTGGCGAGGGGAGGGGTGGGGGCGGGGCGGGACCCGGGCACCCCGATTCCCCACCCGGGACGCCCCGGGGAGGCTGCGGGCCGCGTCGCTGCTCACCTGGGGCCGCGGTTCTGGGAGCAAAGGCAGCCCCGCGGCGCGGAGTCGGGCGCCGGGCGCGGCGCGGCTCCTCCTAGCCTCGGCGTCCTCCGCCTCCTCCGGGCTCCGCTCGGACTCCTGTCCCGGGGAACCGAGCTGCCTGACGGGGCCGGGCTGCGGCCGCCTTTTCCTCGGTCTCCGCCGCCGCCGCCGCCGCCGCCGCAGCCGCAGACAGAGGACGCCCCGTGGCGGATGGAAGCCTGTGTGAGTAGCGGCGCCGGGGAGAATGGGATCTGCTTAGGGGCGCTGGAGACTCCGCGGCTCGGGGCGCGCGGGCGTGCGCACGCGCGCCGGCGAGTGTGAATGTGTGTGTGTGTGTGTGTGTGTGTGCGCGCGCGCGCGCGCCCACGGGGTGGGGGAGTCGTGAGGGGAGGGGGAGAGAGAAAGGGAGGGAGGCTGATTGAAGCTAGTAGGGACCGAGGTAAAATTCTTCGACCCCGGATATCCGTAAAACCGCGGAAGGAGGAACGGACGCTGGGCTTAGCCTGGAGGAGCTGCCCGCCGGGAGACCAGAGAAGAGGAGGCGAGGCCGTGTGGCCAGCTTGGAGTCGGGATCCGAGGCCCGGGGAGGCAAAGCGGGACGCGCAGCCACCGGGGCGGCAGAAGTGGCGCCTGCAGCCCACGATCGCGCTACCTACTCTGGGGAGGGGCAGAGGCCACTCGCTCCTGCCACTACCGGCGTCTGGACTTCTCCGCTGGGGCGCTGGGGGACGGAGATCCGGAACCTCGCGGTTGCCATGGCGACCTCGGAGGCGCCAAGCCGGCTGACAGGCCAAGCCGGGGACCCGGGCGCACGTGGCAGCCTCCTGGCAGAAGTCGGCGTGTGCCAAGACTGCCGGCTTGGGGTTGCGCCGCAGAATCCACCCCGCCCAGCCTACAGCGTCTATCTAGCCCCGGCCGAGGATTTGGAGTGGTTGCCATCACGTTGGGTGAAATGTTTCCTTTCTAGAAGCTGCTTTTCCTGAGAATTATCCACTGCCCTTATGGAAGCGCTTGCCCTTGGTGGGATGTTGCCACCTGTACAGACACCAACAGTGAGTGCCTCTCTCAATCCCGCTGGTCTCGCAGTCCCTCTCCTCCTGGGCTCACCCTCCAAGCCACACTGTAAGACCTTAGAAAATAAACGCGTAAGTCACATTCCTATACCCGCCTTCCTAAGGACGCACTGTAAATTCTCAGGGCGACTTTATTCACCCAAGAACATCTTCTCGGGTCCTAAGGTCTGGGTGTTCATTGAAAAGCTCTTCTGGCAAGAATCCTCCCCTGGAGTGTTTTTGCATACTTTTCCTTGCCCTCCAGTACTTAGCACAGTACCACGTACATTGAATGTTCTCTATAAAGGTTGAATGAATGACAGTGTTTTCTAGCGTCACATATCTGTGTGTGACTCTTTTGCCTTCTGGCAAAGGCCCCCTTCCCACCTGAAAAGAAAAAGAAAAATGTATACTGATCCACTGTGCACAGAATACACGCAGAGAGCCCTCCAGTGTGGGACCCAATGGTATAGCTGGGTGTGCAAAGGCCAAAGTCAGCTTTATTTTGGTATGGGGACGGGGTGGGGGTGGGAGGAGGGGAATTTAAGTTCTCAAAACGTGAAAGGTGTCCTTCATCAGCAGTGTACACCACACCGTGCTTTCTAGGACAGAGGACAAGAAACAAGTTTTCTAAGAAATGCATGTTTCTAATTGCTGGTCAGATAAAGCATTTCTCTTGTTAAGAGCAGTATTTCGTGGACAATGGCTACTACATGCAGAACTTGGCCCTGGCTGCTAATTCTGCTTTAGCACCAAACACACATCCTCAACCAGGCTTTTACTAGGAGCATCTTTTTAGAAGCAGATGTCTTCAACTTCACATTCCATGCTAAATTTCAATCCCTTTGAACTTTGGGCTCTTCTGTCATCTGCTCTCTCTCTCTCTCTCTCTCTCTCTCTCTCTCTCTCTCTCTCTCTCTCTCTCCCCCTCCCTCCCTCTCTCTCCCTCCCTCCCTCTCTCCCTCTCTCTCCCTCTTCCTCCCTCCCTCCCCCTCTTTCTCACCCCCTCTCTCTCTTTCTCTCCCTCTCCCTCTCTCTCTCTCTCTCTCCCTCCCCCCCCCCTCTGGATACCACCTCTGTGAAATGTCACTGAAATAAGAGAAAATTAAAATGGATTTATTTGGGTACTGCCAAATAAATCCATTTTGTTTTCCCTACTAGAGGACCCTTTGTATGACTTCTTCTCTGTCACTCAGTTTACAACCTTCTCAGAAGGTATTTGTGATATTGGAATTCTTATGTTTTTTCCCCCTTATGTTGAAAGCTTAGATGTTTTAATTTTTTTACTTGAAAAACACTTTTAAAACTTTTTGAGGAAGCAAGAAACAGACACCCAAAATGGTCTGTAGACAGCCAAATTGTTAAATAGATATGAGTCAAAAATCTTCCAAAATACTTTAAAGTTTTATTTCCCTTGGGAAGTTGCTTTCAGAGTTTTAATTTCGCAGCTACTAATCTTTCTTGCTGGACTGGAAGAATATGAGGGGGAAAAAAAGCTGAAGTTCCTGCAATGCCCTCACAGAGAGCAATCTTGTCTTTATAAAAACTGATATTTGGGGGTGGGGGGGAGGCTGGGAAGAGATGTGAAGGGTAAACAAAGGAGGAGGCTGCAATGCTTGATAAGAAATGTACTCATTATCTTGCCCATGTAATTGTAACCCCTCTGTACAGTATGTTCACAAAAAATAAAAATTAAAATTAAAAAAAAGCAAAAAAAACATATTTATAAGATACCATCATTTTAAAGTAAGAATGTAATCAGAATTTTTAATGCATGTTAATTTAGAGGATTAATTATAGAAACACAAAAGACAATGGAATAACAACATAAGATAAAGAGCATTTCTGGACCAATTAAAGATAGAAGTTTGGAAGAGCAACAAGAAGTAAAATATATCAACCCCTAGACCCTCATGCTACCTAAACACTAGACAATAACCTATAACTCTTCATTTTTATATGTATCAGTTGGACTGAGATTCAACAACATATTTCTAAAAATCCTATTTTTTGTCCTAAAAAGAGAAACATTTACCAGTAGTGGCTCATGCCTGTAATCCTAGCTACTCAGGAGGCTGAGATCTGAGGATGGAGGGGGTTCAAAGGGAGCCCAGGCAGACAAATGCTTGAGACACTCTTAGATCCAATTAAGCAGCAAAAGGCCAGAAGTAGAAGTTTAGTTCAAGTGGTAGAACATAAAACTTAAGCAAAAAAGCCAAATGAGTGCAAAAGCATGAGGCCTTGAGTTCGTGCCCTATTACCAGCACACACACACACACACACACACAGAAGGAAAAGAAAAGAAAGAAAAGGAGAAACATTCTTAATCTAACTACCTTTTTTTTTAGTTTAAAATACTGTAATAAACTAGTCAAACATTAACTTAAAACTTTGGGTTATAAAGGGGTAGAGTATGAGAAGAAACACTTTAAGCTGATTTGGTCAGGCCTGGCTTATCTTTTTTATCATCCAAATTTAAAAAAACAGAGTTTCACCTCTGAATACTGGTAAATTTAGTCTAGGAGATATATCATGAACTCCAAAGTCAATTTCTCATGTTGGGAGTTGATTGCCCCAAATTCTTTCAAGTGGGAAGGCAGAACCGTTAGTTCAAATGCTGCTGTGGATTTTAGAGGCCGTGAGCACGCATAAAGATACGGGTAATGACCCCCATAATTAGTTCCCAGATCATTGTGTCCATTAGAGTTTTAAATGATAACACTTAACTTGACCTACACCTTAGAAAAAAATCAACAATCAGAAAGTTATATCTCATTCCAAGCAAAACCAGATGTATTTTCTTTGGTAGTCATCACTGCTGACACTTGGGGTACAATAGTACATTAGAAAGTAACCACTAGTTTATAGGATTATGGATTTCCTGCAAGCAGGAAAAAAAAAACAGCTAGGAGTTTTCTTTCCAGGAAAATGAACAGATGAGTATTTAAAAAAAAAAATTGAGCTGGACATTGGTGGCTTGCACCTGTAATCCTAGCTATCAAGAGGGCAGCTGAGGCTCAAAGTTCAAAGCCAGACACAGCAGAAAAGCCCTTGAGACTCTCCAGATAACCAGCAAAGGCCAGAAGCAGAGCTGTGGCTCAAATGGTAGAGCACTAGCCTTGAGCAACAAGCTCAGGGACTGGTCCCATGCCATGAGTTCAAGCCACAGGTCCAGCACAAGTTACAGGATTAGATAGATCGATCGATCGATAGATCGATAGATAGATAGATAGATAGATAGATAGATAGATAGATAGATAGATAGATATGCAAACATATATACATACATTCTTACATAAATTGTGTGTGTGTGTGTGTGTGTAAAATTTCAGGGTTAATGGAGCATCATCTGGAACTCAGAATAAGATTGGGGACTTTTCTGCCTAGGCTGGCTTCAAACCATCACCCTCAAATCTCAGCCTCCTGAGTAGCTAGGATTATATGCATAAGCCACTGGCTCCTGGCTTTTCTTGGACAATGTTAGCATACCATTCAATAAGATCCATTAATATATTGACATGGCTAAAGGAAAACAAAATTGGTGAATTTGCTAATATCTTCCTATTTTTAATCTAATGGTTGTTTTGATTGTCAACAGGAAGAATACACATAAGAACATCAATAGGGCTGGGAAGGTGGCTCAGTGGCCTTGCATGCTCAAGGCCCTGGGTTCGATTCCTCAGCACCACATAAGCAAAAAGAAAAAAGCCGGAAGTGGTGCTGTGGCTTAAGTGGTAGAGCGCTAGTCTTGAGCTAAAGAGCTGAGGGACAGTGCCCAGGCCCAGAGTTCAGGCCCCATGACCGGACCCAAAAAAAAAAAAAAAAAAAAAAGAACATCAATAAACCACCAAACAAGTATTTATTGAGAACCTACTTCATCACAGTTCAGCTCTTTGCTCTATGACCAATAAAATATAAATTGCGGCTAATCAGCCTTTAAAGTTCTATAGGTTAGCTGTTGTTATTCTAGAGAACAAAACGGATGAACATACATAAAATTAATTCTTGACCAGTTGAAACTAACTTCAATTTAAATGACCAGTAAGGTTTAATAAAGAAATTTGTAACTTATCTGTTGGACAAAAATTATCAGTAGCCAATGTATATGCATATTTTCACATTCACACTCCCTCCAAGTAATAGCGGAAGTTATCACAAGTTATGTCATGGAAAAAAATTACTCTATTACTGTAGTCTGAATTTTTTAATTGCAGACATGAGGCCAATTGCTAACAAGGAAGAAGAGCCAGGTGCTGGTGGTTCATGACTATAATCTTAGCTTCTCAGAAGGCTGAGATATGAGGATCACAGTTCAAAGCAGGAAAGTCCAGAAGACTCTTATCACCAATTAGCCACTAGAAAACTGGAAGTAGAGCTGTAGTTCAAAGTGGTAGAGCACTAGCCTTGAGCAAAAATTGCTCAGGAATAATTTCCAGGCCCTGAGTTCAAGCTTCAGGGCTGACAAAAAAAAAAGGAAGAATAGGCTATATTCACAGTGACAGTTATGAATTACTTATCCCTGCACAGAGTGATATAGATTGAAATATGCTAGACCTTATCGTCAATCTTTCAAATCACTTGGAGGGCCACCCATTTCTCTGTTTGCAAAGATTCAGCTGTCTCTTTTTGGATAATTTTGTGTGTGCATATTGTAGGGTTTAAACTCAGACAGGGCCTGGGTACTGTCCCTGAGCTCTTTTGCTCAAGGCTGGTGCTCTACCTCTGAGCCACAGTTCCACTTTCAGTTTTTGAGTGGTTAATTGGAGATAAGTATCTCTTAGG